GGTGGGGGAAGGAAGGAGGGGATGGGGGAGAGAAATGTTCCAGGGACCTGGAAAGACAAGATCTAAAGATCTGGAAAGAAAAGAGGAAAGAAAAGAGGTGAAAGCAGCCGTCTCTCTAGCCCCAAGTCGCCCTTCCCTGCCTTTGGTGACCCAGCAGACTCACAACAAGCCCACTTCGGGGTGTTCAGCCTTGAGGGAGCTGGTGCCGAAAGAGGCAGCTGAGATGATGTAGGAGAGCTGGAGGCCTGATTGAAGGAAAGTTCCCCCGATTATATTTGTGTGGAAAAGCTCACCTCTTGCAGAGCTCTAAAGTGTAATCAAGGCTGAGGCTTACACTTGAAGGATGTTAACTCTCATACGGGAACCTACTTTCTCCTAAACGGTTTCTTGCCTAGTGAATGAGAGCCTCCCAATTGAAGCAAAATGATCCTTATGTACTAATATCAAGCACAGTCACAAAGCGACCGGCTATTTATGCTGCCACTTTAGACAAAGATATTTAGTTATTCCCGGGTAGCAAGTGCACTTTTGCATTTTTAAGCACGAACCAGCCGAGCACAAACATATTTACAAGTGCAATTACTAAGTAGTTACTTGACACTTCAAAGTCACTGGGTTAACTGTACCTTCGCTGTAATTTTCTTAATATTCAGGTAATCGCCGTATTAAATTGGGTTTGCCAGGGCCGTAGGCCGGGGTGTGAAACACTCAGGGGAGGTTTCTCTCCTCCGCCCGGGAACACCCCGAAATATAAGCTTTGGAGACACTGGACAAGTCGGGCTATTTCTCCAAAGCCCCGAGTGACATGAGCTGCTGGCTGCATGGAGGTGTGTGTGGCTGTGGATGGGCTCGCTTTTGTTTTCACACCGGATCCGAGAACAGATCCAAAAGTGCCAGAAATTACAGTTTATTCCAAACTGCAGGGAATTCATTGGCAAGGTGGTGTAGCAGATGACCTGAGAGGTCTTCTCCATCCAGCTCCCCTGCTGTATAAATAACCTTAGAAAGCAGCTTCGGGTTCAGAGGGACCAGGAGAGCCTGTGGCAGGCTTTGCCTTTGAGAATGATGAGCGACATTTTGCGCTAACCTATTTTTCACCGGTCTCTCGCCCCAGGCAATTAAATTACCGCTTGTTTTTGCAGACTTGCAACTCCCACCTCTCCCTGAGGCTGAAGGGGGGGGAAAAAAGAAAAAAAGAAAAAAGCCCTAGGTGAACGGAACTTATGGGTTTAGGGAGAGAAACGATCCTCGCACTGGGGGGGGTGTCTGGCACTGGGGGTCTTAGCAGACATAGAGAAGGTTCCCCAGGTGCCAAATTCCAGGTGCTGTTCGGGCACCAGGCGGCGGGGTACCGGCCGAGCCGGTGCGGGGGTGCGGAGGGTTGGGACCGGGGGGCCAGGGGGGGATGTCGG